AATAAATATAAAGACTCTTATCATATTATAAACCTTGTAATCTTGCTCTCCTCCTAGAGGGAAATGTTGACTTTACGTCCGAAATGTGGACTTGAGAGCTGTGACCCCCTAACCCTAGCTTTTGTATTGCTCGTTTGGTTCCCGTCAAGGTGTGAGACTCCCCCAGAGCCGCCTGCTGTAGGCAAGGACCTCGACAAATTCATCCACCAATGGCAATTAAGATCGTGAACCCAACAAGCAAAGCAAAGGTGAAGCCCATGACGAACATTCCTTTTTCACGGCTGATATCGCGATGGAGGAACACGATGGACACAGTGTCGCAAATGATGTCATACAACCCAAATCCTCTGGATCACCGATGATATCAACTTGGACCAAGAAACCAGAAAATCTGTACGTTGAGTGGCATTCTCTCCCATGATGCCTGGTACGTCGAGGAGTCGAACTTGGAAGATCTCATGGACGCAATACGTGAATCGGACATGGATGATGAAGTGCAGGAGGAGGATGATCCTTGCTGCCCAACAATTGCATTCGCATCGATAGAGAAACAACAATTTTGATGCAAGTAATTGCCTGCCCTGATTTTCAAAATGCACTAATTATCTCTCGCCGCATAGAATCTCGATGGGTTAAGCATGCTTACAAATGCTACGTCTTTTTAAGCTGAACTTGACTTCTTCAATAGGGACGCAGTGCTTCGCGTCGCTAGTCAAATTGGAAGACCGGTGAATGTGGATCGTGCCACGTAGATAGGAAAGCATTTGTAATTTGCTCGAGTCTGCATTGAGGTTGATCTGGTGAAGCCTCTCATTTCCCAATAAAATCGAAGGCATTACATTACATATTATAAGGTCTCCATATCATTTGCACATAGTGTAGGAAGTACGGTGATAAAGTGAACACTTGCCTTTCTCTCTTCTTAGCTGCTCTATCAGTGCCTACCCCAGTGGCCCTAGGTTTCCCACAAGGTGTAGATATTTCTAGGGCAAGTGGAGATTTGTGGTGAGTGGATGATAATGAAGTCCAATTCCACAAAGCAAACAAAACTATTGACCCAAGAGGAAAATCAAGATTTCGCATCGCAGCTAGTGATGGTAATGGGGTGGGGCGGGTACCTCAATTCCTATGCCTCGCCCCACGCACTACGGGTCAGGGCGGGTAAAGGCCGCGCGGGTACAGGGCGTGGCGGATCGACCCACTCTTACATGTTGTTCAAAAAAAATACAAGTAAATTTTACTTTTTACAATAAAACGTAGGGAAAAGCACTTTAAGAATGAAAAATATTGATAATAGAATGGATAATTGAGCCTAACAAGTTGAAAGATTAACTCTAACTAGTTGAAGAAAAGTCAAAATAGGAGAAATATGTATAGATATTGTAAGAAATTGAGATAAATGAGTCTAGAACGGGGCGGGGCGGGGCAGGGAGGGTCGGAAGTAGATACCCATGCCCCGCCCCACGCTACTGCGGGTCGGGTAATACCCGTCCCATCGCGAGTCAGGTCGGATAATACCCGCGGGGCGGGTTGAAATTGCCATCACTAATCGCAGCCAATGGGTTCAAACGTTGCTACTTTGGAGGTCGAAACAATAACGAAAAATACACCCATGGCTAAGGAGGATTGGGTCACTGCCGGGAATGCAGGTAGAGATGACTCATGCTGCTGCTAGTGTTGTGGACATGGCAAAGAACGTCTAGGAGAAGGCAATGGACGATGGAGATCGAGAGGGCCAGATTGACATTCCCACAGCTAAGGATGGCAATGGGGCGGGTTTGGGACGGATTAGTATAAACCATACTCATCCCCGCTTTCAAATATTCAAACTCATACCTGCCCCATACTCGTGCGGAGAAGGTTTAGCAAACTCATTCCCATACTTGTGGGTTTCCGTTACTCATGGTAATACCCGCACCGTACATCCAAGATTATAATACATGTAAATTTTTAATTATAACATTAAATGTATCTACTATATCATTAAGTCGACAAAGAGACAATAATTTTTAATACGGTTTAGACAATGTAATTAAAATTCTTGTTCTCTGACTCTGATACATCTACTAAATAATAACTAACTAACAAACAAAATCTTGTTAATACGAGGGGAAAGTGAAAGAGTGAAGGAAGATTGAGGAAAAGTAATTAGGTTTTGATTTTGGGTGGCCGTGTAATTGCATTTATACTGTTTATTTTCTTGAGTTACCTCACTATTATTGATAGGTTACAATTTAATTCATGTATTTTTATATGTGAAGAAATGTTCTTGGTGGTATGGGTATTGGGAGGCTAAAACATACCCGCCCCATACCCATCAAACGTTTTGCGGGTTTTACCCATACCCGGTCAATGTGGGGATTTCCAACGTTGAATGGGTCGAGGGCGGTCGGATACCCGCGATCATGGGTTTGATTACCATCCCTACCCTCAGCTACATCCTTGGGAGAATGTGACCAATTTCATGGCGACAACCCTAGATCAAACCCAAATTTCACCTCAAGTTGCACCGACAAAGGGAACAGGAAAGAAGATTCATGCGACTGACTCAAGATCGAACAAGGAAGTTTGGCCAAAAGTGCGCACATGTGTATCAACCACTAGTGCACCACGTGAATACAATAAAGTCTAGGCCTAGGGGAAGTCTAACTAGAATGTGTCAACTGCTATAAATAGAAACTAGGAAAGACCCACTCGCTACGCTTCGCGTGTGAGGAAAGTAGTAATGTACAAAATGGTTGGCTGAACCATTTCCTTACTAACTGTCTGCATTTGATCCCCAGAGAAAGTTGGGTAAGGAAGACATATTTATACAACAAACGTTAAGCAAGCAGTTACATGAGTTAATAAAAGAGACACTTAATAGTTTTGCCGATGACAAAAAGCAAGTGGAATGGAACTTGCTGTTTGATCCTGCAACACCCCCTATGGCGTCACATTTGCAGCATGACGATGCCAAACCGTAACAACTTCAAAGTGAACTTGAATCGACCCCTTGTGAAATCCTGACAATGGGAAGGCTCCCAACAAAATGTATGATAATAATTTGCTGAATGCACCAGAAAACAACTACACAATTTGTAGGTCTGCAAGTGTGGTTCTAAAAATGGCAGCAAACATAAAATTTATGTAACCGCCTATGTAGCATAATACAGCGACAGGAACGAACACCAAGAACAGCTGGTTACACAGAGAAGTTCTGCAGGTAAAAAACAGACTTAGCATGATTGAAATAAGAGTGCATTGTTGAGGCAAGGTAAAAGAACGAACTTGTTTACCATGATATACCACTGTGAAAGTAGCAGCAACCATCAATCCTTTCATAGTCTGCTGAAAGAAACAACATTTGTATTGGCACTATTATAGGTTAGTTTATAAGAGTGAATTGATATAGTTTGTGAATTGACTGGAATAAGTTAGCAACTAACCTGGCAGAATTTGTAGGAACAGAGCAAAATGCACCACCAAGTGCATCAAATGTCTCTGTATAAACAATGTTTCTTGTGTAGTTTTTGGGAATGTGTTCTTCATTTTGAATAATAAACTTTAGACCATCAGCCGACCTAACCCGCGAAACAGCAACATACAGCTGGCCATGGCTGAAGACGGGCTTTGGAAGGAATACACCAACACGGTCCAATGTCTGGCCTTAACTCTTGTTGATTGTAATCTCATAACAAAGGCGAACAGGGAACTGTCTTTGCTTCAAAACTAAAGGCCAATTCTGATCATTTATGTTGACAACGATCCTAGGTATGGCAACCACCAACCCAACATAAGTACCGCCCATGATCGATCCCTTTATCACATACGTGGAGAGATAAGTAACCATGATTCGGGTGCCGTTAAACAACCCTATATCCGCGTTAAGGTTTCGCAACAACATAATGGGTGCAAACACTTTGAGGCCAATTTCATGATCTAGGAATCCACTGAACGACAGTGTATTGAGGAATTCTGCAGGATATTCAGACTCAAGTTTGCCGGAATCCTGCGAATCTGAGTGTATTGTGTCAGCACTGAAATACGTGTGTACCTTGCCGCGAACCTGGTACAACATATTGTCGTTGATTGCAGTAACATTTTTGTTTGTTGGAGTGATGATTGCTCTACTGGTCAAGTAAGATGAACTATGGCAGTTCTGTGAAAAGTCAGTATATACTTGGCTGCATATTGTTGATGTTGGGTTTGTTCCTGGCTCAACCAAAAGCGGGGCTGGTATAGAAATCCAATAAGCGGGGTGGTCGGTGGCAAAGCTCTTGCCAGGAATCTGGCCATTTCCAATGCTCAGTGTCCAATCAGCAAAAGACATCCCATCAAATGTGAGTTCGTCGTTGAGAACTGACGAAGTAACCCGCATATTTGTTGATAGATGGAGGACAGTACAAAAATTCCAGAGGTATGACCGAGTAAGTGAAGAGTCTACACTTTCCTCTCTTCCTGCATTGGCTACAACTGGTAGAGTTTGTCTAAAGTCTCCTCCCAACAGAATAGTCTTGCCCCCAAATGGCTTGTACCCTTTGCCTATAAACAGGAGATTCATGATATCACAAAGAGTGCGATCAACAGCTTCAAAAGATAATCGGTGAATCATTGGTGCCTCGTCCCATATTATGAGGTCTGCTTCAGCAAACAAATGAGCAAGTTATGTACCCTTTTTAACTGTGCAAGTAGATGTCTGGTCAATGTCCAAAGGGATTTTAAAGCGTGAATGTGCAGTGACTGCGTTTGGTAATAGTGTGGCGGCAAAACCTGAAGAGGCAACCACCAAAACCTTGTGATTGAGATCGGCCATAGCGGCAGCCAACGCTTTGTAGAGAAATATTTTCCCAGTCCCTCCATGACCGTATAAGAAAAAGAATTTCCCATTTCCATCTGTAACAGACTGAAAAATCTGATTAAATGCATCAGCCTGCAGCGAATTTAAATCTGAATATGCAGGAATTTTTTCTCCTTGACCTGATGTTGATGGAGTGTTTTTGGAAAAATGGAAGGGGTCATTAAAGTGGGGAAACTCTGATGTTGGAACGGGAAGGCTGAAGTGGGAGAGGGAAGATGAATAGCTCTGTAGTAGTTGCTGCAGCTCGTGCAACAGTAATTCTCTTAAAAAGGTCGGGCGAGATAGAAACACCGTTTAAGCGAGCTTCCTTTTGGCATTTGTATGCAATATCTTCGGACAATAGTTCCCAGGTTTGATCAAAGAGTTTCTTCGGGTTTGCCAGCTCACAGAACAGCAACATAGAAACAAACAAATACCTCACCAACTTTGCCATGCCCCATTGGCCGACCTCTCCCATAACCAAGAGCCACTCATCATCATCTGCAAGAAGACCCATCTTTTTGCAAGCTGCTTGAAAGTTACGACAGACAATGCCATTGGCAGTCCGCAGGTCCTTGAAACTCTGTGCTCCACGAACCTTCGTGAGCAGATGACGGAGGTAGAAAGTGTCCCCTGAGCCAGGATGGATATAAGCCATGCGCCCTAGTGAAAAGCCTTGTTTACGTGGTGACCAGTCAACTTCCTTAGCAATCAAAGTATACTTTGTTGGTATCTCAACATAGAGGAGAGAATGTGCACATGGATCCCTACGATTGAGTTTGAACCATTGGGTCAATGTTATTGATTCGACTGTTGTCCTTGCAAGAATGTTGTCAACCCGCTGTCTCTTCCTGTATGGAACCATGTGCTGACCCTCAAGATGGACACAAAGTCTTTGTACTGACGGAGTACGTTCATGGATGGCAAATTCAAAAATCCTCCAAGCAGCTTCATAGGAAGACAAAGATCTACAATCCAAATATTGTTGAATTTCATTGATAGGCAGTTGTGAGGGTTGTGGTTGACTCGAAGCAGGGGCATTCGCAACATTGTCAGCTACAACAACCGATCTATCTGGGCCCTTTGTGATATATTTGAATAGATACTTGACGAACTTTCCTTGGTGGCAAACCTCCACATTGATATGTGCCTGAAAAAGAACACACAAATTTATGTTATGTGGCACGGCGAACCTGTTATCTAGCACCGTGTGGCCTTTAGTTGCTGTGATGCCGGTATCTCGTCTTCGGTAAACCGGGTATCCAAACTGATCAACAGTAGTCTATGAATTGAAAGGTTTTGGAAAGAACTTTGTACACTTCCCATCTCGCATACATGGCGATGAATGATTGTCGTCTCCACACGGACCATGTAGCATGAAACGTGTGATAGTCTCATACCCAAGTGGATCTAGAATAGGATCCGGGAGTTCAGCAGATATAGTTCCATCGATATCTTGTATTGATTTAAGTTTGCTGCCAGTCTCAAGCCAAACCAATACATGAGCATGGGGTAGTCCGCGTTTCTGGAATTCCACCATTTGTATTGCTATAAAATGTAGGTGGTTTGTTAAGATTGGGTAAGCAAAGCAAATTGATGACTGAGCAGTGGACTAAAAAGCTATTGTGTAGCTTGAAATGGTGCAAAAAGAGTGAACTTACATGCCACGGTTGGACCAAAGTAATTGTTGAGGCAGATTTCATCTCTAAGTGCATTCAGTTTCATCTTAAATACACGTGCAACTACATCAGGCTTAAGTTCGCTGCCGGTTCCACATATATCTTTGAAAGCTTCTGCTATTTTAGGCCACTGGGAATCGAAAGTGAAGGTTATGAAAAGGTTGGGATTACCATAATGATGGCAGACAGCCATTGCATCCAAGTAAAGCTATTTCATGTAGCGTGGGCTGCCAGTGTAGGACGAAGGAAGTATGACGTGTCCCAAATCATCTGCTGTGATTTCTCCATTGTCATAAGCTTCTTGTAGGTGTTGGTAAAGCTCTGAGCGAAGATCTTTCTGATGAGTTCGGAGGTATGCCAACCGATTATGTTCTATCGTGGAGAAAGCATCAACCATGTAATGCTGCAAAGCCTTGCCACCGCGCATAAGCGTTTGTCCCTCAGCTTCTCGATGTTGTAGCCTGTAGGCATAATACTAACGTTGAGTAACTCGCTTACGTTGTAAGCTTTCCGATGCATTCTCAAGATAGTAGGGTATGTTGGTGTGGAACCCATCCTCACCATAGGGGAAAAGCAGAGGGAAGTGCATTGCCTCGAATTTAGGATTGAGACTGGTTATTCTTCGAAGACCCTCAACACAGTGGTCAATAATGATGTCCCAATCTTCCTTGTCCGGCACAAAATCACCCGGAACTAACCCTGCAAGCTATATGCCCGTTGGGAGATCATACTGTCGTGAACTATTATCACGTGCACCAATGATTCGAAGCCTGAGGTTGCTCGTCATGGGATCATGGAGTTCTTTTCGAACTCTGCGGAAATTTCTGACCAAATCGTTGGTGTTGTCCATCATGTCCGTAAGGCCGACAACTATTTCTGGATTCAATTGCTTGTCTCTAGAAGAGAAATTGGCTAGCCGGTTATTAAGTTCCGACTGTGGATCAAACACATAGAGCTGAGAAAACTTTGGTTGTTGTCCAGGTGGAGGTAGCAGAGATCCCATAAGGTGATAGTTTTCTCCACAAATCACAAACGGATAAGGACCTCTGGTTCTTGCAACACGTGGGTCCAATTTGCACCAAAGGAAGCGAAGGCAAATGCAAGATTATATGAGCGAATGTGTTCACGAAAATGTGCAGCAAATGGACCTCCATTGATTCCTAATAGTTCTTCGAGATAAGGCGGAGTCGGCTTGAGAAGTGGTATTCGTACCATACCCTTTTGGCAGCACAAAGGGAAGACAAGGACTGAAGTCTTCTGGTGGCGGTTAAGCCGTTCTTGATAACAAAATGCGGCACCACAAAACTGGCATGTATGGGTTGGCAGGCCAAAAAGGAGTATCTTGTCGGAGTTTTCCCTCCTCGATTGTGGAAGATGCGTCGGTTCATTGTCTGTAGGTTCAGCAGGTTGTTGTTGCGGCAACAGCAGGGTGTATGTGTCTCCGTGGTGCCTGAACCGCAGGTCGTTGGGCTCCTCGTGGATTGGGGATGTGGCATCCTGTAGGAAAGTGAAAGCCCTTGATCGCTTATTAAGGCGTGAACGGCGAGTGTGTCTCAGAGTTGGCTGCGGAGGAGTGTCTGGAAGGGATGTGGGTTGAACATCGGGACGACGACGTTTTTTTGGCGTTCTGTGGGGTGGTTGTGTAGCAGCTGGCAAGGCGTCATCCTATAATAGAAATGAGCGAGCGGTGATTAGGTTCTAGAAGTCATTCTATATTTTCCAAGACTGAGATATAAAGTGCATAATGGAGGGTAGTTTGAATATAATGAAACTGCATTCATAGAACGAATTGAATGAGAAATAAATGAACTGTAGCAAGATCATTAAGAGTTTTACAAACGGTAAATGGAATGATTGTAGAGTGAAACACTTACAATTCTTGTATGTCAGTTCAGTGTACGTAAGCAACCGAATATATGTAATAGTAGAATAGGTAGGCAAGGTTGTCGGGCAATAGTAGGAAGCAGGGCAAATGAATCAGATGGCTATTAGAATGTTGGATTAATGGCGGAAGATGTTCTCTGCAAGGAATACTTCTAACAACAGGCCAACAGAAAAAGGAGATGATGGTTAGCCAATGAAAAGAGCAAGGTGAGTTTGTATTACTAGAATTTTGTTTGAGCCATCTGAGGGGTAACTAACCACAGTCAGTTTGTGGGATGGATTAGGGTTAAAAGTTATTCAGAGTTCCAAAGCATGGCCATGACTGACTTGCATTTAATGCAAGGATGTGGAGTAGTGTGTGGCCAAGCAAGTAACCAACAGATAAAAGACTGTGCTGGGTAATAACTTAGGTTGGTAGGATTTTGTTTAATTTTACTCAGGCAAAATCAAGAAAAGCTTATTGTTGCCATGGAAGTTTGGAGATTTGCACTGATGGCAGTCGGGTGAGTTTCTTCTATGTTGTGCAGGCTTGTGAAATGATAAGTTTAATGGTGACGTAACATTAAAAAATGAGTTTGCAGATTGGAAAAAACTGTAAAAGGACATTAGCTTAAGTAACACAACGACCAATCGAAGCGTCAAATTGCCTGTTTCAAAGTTAAGTACTTCGGTTAGACAGGAACACGCGAGAATAGGCAGCTTAAAGTAACGGCAACCATAGTATGCCAGCAAAATGGACCTATGTTAACATGTCAGGTGAGGTGTCAAGGCAACCATTGGGTAAGGTTTCCTTTCAAAAGAAGGTCTCCTAGGCTAAACGGGGGAACATTTGAAGAGGGCAAAAATGAACTTGAGTTGGTGGTTTCTAGCCTTCAAACAGGCATCGTTTGGCTTGTTTTTTGGAGCCTGATTTGGTTGAGGAAGCACTGGTTTTCTTGGAAACAGCTACACCAGCCACTTCAATTGCCTTTTGCGAAGGTTTGCAAGCACGTTTCAAGGTTGAATTGCAGGTTGGTTTATCCGGTTTAATGGGAGTGGGCAAATGAGAATCAACACTTTGCTGTTCGATCTCCAGCTGTTCAGGCGCAACATTGTCTCCAATGGCGTCTGCTGTTGGGGAAGCTGGTAGTGTTTGAGCAAGGTGCTTTGTTCGTGCGCTGGTCCTAGTAAAAGTAACGACGCAATCATCACTCGAGTATGTTCCTGGTGATGTTGTGTGACACCTGGCAGCAGAGGAAAAAGGTTGTAGTGAATGGGGAAGGATGTATTTAAATTGTAAAGTTCATATGTGGGTTCTAAACCTTGGAGGAGAATTTTCTGGATGGGCAGTGGGTTCGTCATCTGAGTCCCAATCATCCAGTGAAAGCCGAGCAGGGCTGGAGAAAGAAGGAAAATGCATGAAGGAAAGCAATGGGTGGTAGGGCATTCATAGGAAAGTGTGGTGGATGTAAAAAAATAATGTAAACCTGGACATATGCTGGATGGCTGCAGTCGATGATGCAAGGAATTCTGCTGATGGTTGCGAAGTTGTTTTCGGAATAAGACCTTTCCCCTTGGATAGCTTGCTGCAAAAGAGAAGGGCAATCAAGAAAGCTGCGAAAGGATTGGGTGAGAATGAAGGGATGGGAAACAGACCGCAACCGTGAAAAAGTGGAAATGGTAGTTGGCGCGGATGACTGGGCTATGTTTTTCTTCCCGGGAGACCTTTGAACAGTGTGGGAATCAGTAAAAAGAGTCCTATAATAGACTGCGAGAATGAAATAAGCAATTGTAGGTAAAGTGTAGGGAAGCATTGTTAGAAAGAAGCAAAGCAGAAGAATAAGAAGTGGCAAGGAAGGGGCATGAGGATAGAGTGAATGCATAACACAGTGCTGTCACAAGTGACCAAGTTTGTGGTAAAAGTGAAAGGCATCATCTATCCAAAATTAATGTGAAGCAAAAGTAAAAGTGGGAGGCAACAGAGGCTCTCTAGTCAAACAGCAGGGAGAGTGAATTGTCCATGGGCAATGCTATTTCCTAGAAGATAAACAACGATGGAAATTAAAACTGTTGTAAGCATGCTGCACGAAATAGAAAGTTTAGATTCGAAACCTCGATGAATGATAGGCTTCTGCAGCTGAAGCTGTTTGGTGAGGGATCTGTAGCGAGGACAGCACCGCATCAGGTGGTGGGAGATATTTACCCTTGGCAAGCATTCTGCAAAGACGAATAAAGATGAAGTCTTGGGGAGAACATGTGAACGGTGCATTAAGGAACATGGTTCAATACGGCAAGCGAGAAGATGTCGATATGTTTTTTGGGGAAGAGTTAGGTGGCCGAGGGGAGTCCCTAGATGGCCCTGGGGTAGTTTGTGGATTCGGTGGCAGTTTTCTGGAATAAAATTGCATGCCAAAATAAGTGGGAGGAAAGTGGAAGGAGCATAATTGCGAGTGTATGAAATGTGTATGGAGAGGAAAGAAGCGGAGCATAAGACAGGAACTGAAAATGTAGTGTAAGCTATAGTGGAAATTTAACTGTAAATCGAACCTGTTGCAATGACCAGATGAGGGCGTAGCAGGGGAAGAGCTGGCGGCTGGGAAAACATGGTTGTAGTTGGTGATAGAGAGAAACAATTAGCATAAGAAAGTTTTTAATAAACAATGCAATGACGGCAGCTGTGCACATAGCATATAACCTTGACCGGTTTAGCGGAGACAGCGGAGCAGCGGCAAGCGACCTAACAGAGTATGAAACAAAAGGAGTTAAAGCGAATGGCGTGAAGAAGCAGGCGAGAGCAGGACAAACTGTAAGGTAGTTACTTGTTGTTGTAGGTAGTTTGTCCATATGAGCGGGAAATAGCCCTGTTTGGTGATGCAAATGGGTGGTGTAGAAGAGGAGGTGCATCCGAGTCGAGAATTGATGCTCGGACAACGCGGAATTCAGGCGGCCCCCTTCCAATGTAGTTTGCATAAGGAAGGTGGACATCGAATTCCACCCACTGGCCTTGTATATCCAATATACTCGGGGGCATTTCAGAACGACCAAAGGGGAACCTTTCAGAGAGGTCAAGTGCAGTTGCCCCGAATAGTGTTTCAGCAGTCTTGCCGAGCAAAAGGAATGTAGCAGTTGAAGTTTTATCATCCACAAAGATCCGAGTTTTGTAGCTGCAAAAAGGACGTGGCAGGATGATTCTTAATTCGGGAATAGGGAATATGCTAAAATGTCACTTCAGAAGCATCGACTCTGCGATGATACTTGCACCAGTAGTCGTTTTCATACGGGTCTGTAGCTACAGAGCAGAACGCACAGCCAACGTAGAACCACTGCTTGACAGAATCAACACCGATAACAGTGGCCTCGCAATGGTACCTAGTTTCCTGTGGTAAGAGGAAACAGTTAGTAACGAAAAAGAGAAGAGAGAAAAGTTGCTGAAGGTATTAAGTAGGAAGCAAACATCAGGCTGGCCAAGTTCACTGAGCCTAAGATGTTTGGCGGCTGTTCGAGTTGAAGCCTGTTCAAACTCCTATGCTACCAAGGAAGTTGCAAACCTAGGTGGAATGTAGGCCACACTGTTCTTAAAGGCATGGAACCTGGGAAATAAATCGAGACATTTTTAGAGCGCAAGATGTTGTTGGTAAAAAGAGTAAAGATAGAAGAACATACACATTTTGCAGTTCGTAGGTAGCTTCAGCATCCGAGGCAACAACATGGCAGGTGGCAGAGGTGCTAGATAGCGAGTACTTGTCTGCGAAGAGCGAGACAGGAAGTAAGTAAGGCACAAATAAGCTTCAGCAGTATGGTGCAAATACAATTGGTGGGAAGTAAACGGTAGTCAAGAATTAGTTGTTCATGAAAAGGCAGCTTACCCCTAAACTGGCTGACAGTGAGGCCGGTGATTGCTAGTATGACAGGGCTTTTGCGGCCTAAACATGCGAGCTCTATACCATCGATAGACCCTGCCAATGGGCCCCAGAGCACCACTCCAACCTGAACCAAGCTGTAGGGAGAAGAACAATGATACATCTAGAGTAAGTTGAAATCCACGGTCAAGGTATGGAAGTGTATAAAGAAAGATGCAAGAAGTGGGAGCACAGTGGCGAAATAGCTTGGAAACTAAGAAGAATTAAAAATTCCACATAAGGCAGCATGACTCACTTCTACTGTCACTCTAGGAATTGGCCAAGTGAAACCACCTCCTAAAGTGTAGTATAGCGGGTTTGGGTTTAAATGTCAACCCGGGTCCTAGATTTGATGGCTACTCGGTGAATTCTTGTCATCTAGCAATGAAACTTTAATGCAAGTCTAAACTAACAAACAAACAAAGCAAGTAAACGGTTGTATTCAGGTTAAGAGAGGTCACCCGGATATGGTTCCCCCTAGACTGCAGTTAAGCCGGATTGTAATTACCAAGTTCAGTTTCTATGATAGTTATACTGCGGAAGGTTCTGAAACAGCCTGAAGTCTCGACTAAAGGTCTTCAGACTCTCTCAATCTGAGTCTCTAGCGGGCGACTAACCTCCACCGGAGTAAACAGAATTGAAGCCTCAACAAACAAAACCTCCACTACCGAAGTAAATCCGGTACAGAATAGTGAGTTGGCTCCTCGACTAAAGTCACCAACTCCCTACCTTCAATCAAGGTTTCTCTATCAACCTAGGCAGATATTCTCATTCTAGGTTAAAGCAGAAACAACAGGAATTTGATCAGGATTCATGCCATTCAATCATTCAAACCTCAATTGAATATAATCAAATCATAGAATCAGTACTTGGGTTCATACAATCAAACCTAACATACAAATCTAGGGTTCTCCATACCCAGATGAATGGGAGAACTACTCCATGGAGAAAGAAACAAAAGCAGAATCGGATGCGGAATTCATACTGTGAAGGATGGATTCCTGCTCCTAGACGTTGATTGGCACTTCTCCAAGCTCAAGCCAAGCTCCAATGGTGATGAAGATCAAGCTAGGGCACTTGGAGACTCTTGTTCGTCGCTTTCTCTCTCTAGGAATCGCTCTGTCTCTCTAAAACTCGAATCCCCTTCTCTTTTGGCTGAAATCTGCTTAAAAAGGCATCACTGGGCAAAGCACGGTCGAGGGCACGGCCGTGCTTTGCTCCAGCCCGCCCGTGCTTTGGCTAGGGTTAATTACACGGCCAGCCTGTTGGGAGAAACACGGCCAGCCTGTTGGGAGAAACACGGCCGTGCTTTTGGGTGGACACGGCCGTGCTTTGGTGGACACGGCCGTGTAATTTCTCAGCCCTGCCCGTGTTTTGGCTAGTGTTTGCCAAACTCAGATCAGCTCTCGGCAGTAAAAGCACGGTCTCAGAACACGGCCGTGTTCTGATTTAGGTGTGCCCGTGTTTTGGCTCCAGCTCGACGAAATGACTTCCGAATGCCCCGAAACTCGTGCTTAGCCTTTCCTTTGACGCCTGGGACCTGAAATATGACAAAGTAGCACAACCCGGCGGAAAATAGGCCAAAAATACACGACTATGCCCCTCAAACGGATAAGAACTAGGGGCGCAAATATGTGCATTTACATCGTTATCAAATTCCCCCACACTTAACCGTTTGCTTGTCCCCAAGCAAACCCAACTCAAACCAATGCAACTCTCCAGACCTCTACAGCAACAAACAACCCAGATCGTAGGTAGAGGACTTCCTAGATCATTTAGCAGCTTACGAGATCAACCGACGCACAAGTCATCTCATAGCTTCTTCGGCGAGAGCACTAGTATCGAGTCGGCATCATGGCAAATAGTGAACAGAGGACAAATGAATCGTGGATGAAGAGATTCTAAAAAACAAAGGAGCATGGACTCACATTTCTCAAGGTGCTCTATTTTCGTCTTGAAGATGGTTGGAACCCCTTTTCTTTCTGTTTTGCTTTTTTTCTTTTCTTTTTTTTTCTTTCAAGGGTCCCAACCTGCTTTTCAGAAAATGGGGGCTCCCACCTAGCAGAGGTTTTGCGGGAGCCCAGCTCTTACCAGCCATGCCTGGAGCAGATGTCTCGAGCCTCGTGCGGGGGAAAGACATGTAAGGGGGCTGGAGGTAGTAGGTGGAAATTGGAAATGAATTCCCGTCTCCCCTTACACACTTTTGCCCTATTCGCACGGGAGACCTTATTTTAAAGCACATTTTCGAGCACCTGTGATTTTCAAAACATGATACAAGAGTCCATGACAGGTAGAGAATCCACAACACCACACAATTCAAGGGTCCTAAGATCACTAATTCACTCAATCAACCAACACAATATGAAGAAGAAATGAGACTTCTTAAATGCATCAACATCCTCCATAGTGCTACACACTACCTCCCTAGGTTGCATATTTGACACGCCAAAACACAACACCAATCTGCGACCAAGTGTAATCGCAGACCGGGAATGCAGTAACAGGCAAGTTATATTATCAACCCGGGGTCTAGATCTACTTCTTAATCCGTGATTCTCTATTATCTAGCCAACTAAAGTAAGTGATTGTTGTTTAAAGCAAAAGCAGAAAGAAAGCAGGAATTGATACGGTTTTCTCAAGCAGGTAAGAGTCACTCGGGAATGAATCCCCCTAGCTCCTTAGTTAGGTTTCAATTCTATTTCCCTGGGTTGATTTACCGTTGATTAGACTGCGGAAGATCCGGCAGTAGCTTGGAATCTCTTAAGCTGACCAAGCCCTCTAAGTCTATCTACCCGGCAGACGACTAGTCTTCACCGGGATAGAAAGCTGAAGCAGTAAGAACAGAACTCCACTACTGGAATTGGATTCCAGTACAAAGCAGTAAACTGGCTAACTCTCGTATAGCCAATCTCCTACTACCGAATGATGAGACTCTAGCAACCTAATCAGATTCTATCTATCTCAGATTGCAGCAGGAATCAGGAAAAGTTGATCAGACTTCAATTGACTCAATAAACATGCATCATTCGATTAAAATCAAACAGTAATATCATCCCAAGTCATTACAATCAATCCCTAACACATAGAACTAGGGTTCTTCATCCCTAAGTGAGAGAGGGGTTCTACTCCATAGAGAGAGAGAGAGGAAAACAAGATACAAAGCAGTCATACTCATAATTATGGGAAGAATCTGCTCTGGGATGATGATTTCCACTCCTATGACGATCTCCAAGCTTGATTTGATGAAACCCAGCTCCAAGATGGCTTCTAGGATGTGTTCTTCGTCCTTTCTCTCTCTAGGGCTTTGTTTTTGCTCAAAAAGTCCGATTTTTTTCTCTTGCAGCCCGAAATTGGGTTAAAACCAGGAATTCCCGACTCACACGGGCATGGCCACACGGCCGTGTGGCATACCCAGTTGCCCGTGTGAGTCAAAACGCTGCGTTCCAATTAGTTCGATCTTCAGGCTTCTCACACGGCCAGGGTCGCATGACCGTGTGAGATTTCCATTTGTCCGTGTTTGCTCTCGGCGAAACTCGCACGGCCAAACCACTCCCTCACACGGCCGTGTGAACATCAGGGCAAGCCGTGTTTGCTCTCGCACAATCTCACACGGCCAAAGTGGTCACTTGCACGGCCGTGTGAGTTGTGGGTGTGCCCGTGTGGCCTCCTTTTTGACTTGCCTCGCGCCCGATCTTCGTCCAATTGACCCCAAACTCGCTCCCAAGCCTCCATTCACGTACTAGGACCTGAAATATCACAAACAAGCACAACCTAGCGTGAAATCGGCCTAAAACACGAGAAATCACATCTCAAACGGTGTAAGAGCAGGGGTGAAAACATGTGTAATTACCGGTCTATCAAACTCCCCCACACTTAACCGTTTTGCTTGTCCCCAAGAAAACCAAGTCAGACACAAGGTAAGCTCACATATTTCAATCAACCAACATTGGGGACAAGTCATAAAGGCACAGAACACGTGAATCGTACTGGTTTTCAAACATCAATACATGACCAACTTCAATAGCAACCTGGACAACCACCACAAAGGACATTCGAGTGCAGCAAAATCGAGTAAAGGAAGAGTCTCCCTTCTGTTCACCAACCAACCTAGACTTGACTCAACCCCTTACTCAAAACAGTTAACTCATGCATCCAACTCAAGACATCAGAATAGAGACCGAGCAATCTAGGTCCTCACCGGGGTACAAGAGTATATAGAATATGAAAAATGAATCACTCACTCTCGACCAGTGGGGTCAGGACAATTTGATGCGAAAAATGCGCATGTTATTTATCTCAATCCCTAACATCTCTTCACCATGATGGCAGCCTCTAAATGCTAGAGTTCACATATGGGGTGTCACCACTAACTAATCAGGAGGTCTTAGACACAGGTTCAAATGACTGGCTAGGGTCTTGGACATGGGGAAAAGGCCTTTTAGGTGGTGGAAGTATTCATAGCACAAGGTTCCACGTTTCCAAACCCAACCAATCACAGTCAAACAAACCGGTATTTCCTTTCTGCTATTCTGCATTACTCAATATCTCAAGAACACAAGAGCGAAGGAGGTAAAAATGTCAGCATTTCCAAGCCAGACTGCTAAGAAACACTACTTACTGGGCATTATTCCGATTTTTGGTAGTGGCTCTCTTTTGCTTCCAATTTTTCTTTGTTTTTCTTTCATTTTCTTTTCATTTCTTAAGAGAGCCACCACTTCTGCATATATTTCAAACACCTACCCAGCCGAACTTTTAAGCACTACCTCCAACACTCACATTAAATTTAGCAGAAACAGCAGAGAACATGTAAAACCCACTCTGTGGAACCTTCTAAAAGATGCAAACAGGGTGATTTTTTTTCATTTCAGACCAAAAGAAAGGATAACACACGGCTCAAAAGGGCTGACTAGGGGATATGACACATCAGGACAGTCAAATTTGGTCGTGGGCTAATCATATGCCCCCATCATCCTAGCTAGTGACAACGTGAATGCTACACATCATGGAAGAGGGATCTATCGCACAAGAAAGAAACGAGCAGGCTAAAATCTCACATGGCTACCTATATGCTCTATCTCACATTCTGATACCCTGAACTAGATGCATAAGAGACTGTCAAGAACAAGTAATCAATCCAAGTCACAGTTGGTAAGCAAACAGTTGAAAAACTGAACCCCTACACAACTCTACTACACGTCTTAGTCCTCATCATAGGTTGTCCTAGTCACAATCAAGCTGTCATGCATCAATCCGAAAACCATTCAATTCATCAATCAAAACACAGTGCCAATATGATCAAACAACAGTACTTGGAGCCCTCAAATCTCGAGATTTGGACAGTGGACTAGGCTCCAAGCACACATATATACATTCCAACCGATACAAAGCACCCCCCCACACTTAAGCACGACATTGCCCTCAATGGAGCAGAGGAATAGAGAAGGGGAACGATGTTACCGGATTGAAACTGCTGGGGGACTGGAAGTGGACCAGTCAGCGAGAAACAAACGGGAAGATGGACAGTTCTGCACGAATCGAACACCAAGAACACACTAGCACACGTTGTGTTAGGGATAAGTGTTAGCCCAGACGGCTACGGCAAAAACAATCCACAAAAGAAAAAAAAAACAAAAAAAAAAACAAACGACACTAAGTTCAAGCTCCTCACACATGGAGCAAACACACAAAAGTCTAAAACGAAAAACAAAACACACTGAGATGGGCAACGAGTACAGCCTACTCGTCGCCGAGATTATCCAGGTCGATGTCGTCCATGAACGCGCCATCACCATCAGCACCATCATCACCATCAGCGGTTGGAGGTGGAAGTGGGGAGTCCTCCCAGGGAGTCCTCCAGACTGGCTGCTCGCCCGGTAGCAGCTGGAGCAGATGCCTCTGTACCTCCTGCATGCGCCGAGAGCGGCGCCTCTCCCGCTCGATGTGTGCGAGAGTCACTCCCTGCTGGGTCTGGAGCTGGTCCAATCTCTCATCGTAACCAGCCATCCGCTGGTGGTACTCGGCCTGGTGAGCCGCGTACTGCTGCTGGAACTGCATCTGATGGTCGAGGATCTGCTGGTTTTGGAGACGCAGCTGCTCGAACTGGGAGGTGAAGTAATCCTGCCCCGGGAAACTGGAGCTGCCACCCCCGTACTCGAAGGTGGTGGGGCGGCTGGCAGCAGTGTCATCCACGTCCTCGGGCTGGACCTCCTCATCAGTTGCACCCTCTGGGACTTCCTGCTGGACCGCCTCTGGGATCTGAGGTTGAGGAAACCCCTCGATCCACATGACACCTCGCTCTTCTCGAAGCAGGAGCATTTTGGTGAGCGTAACCCGGCCAAAGGGAGTGGTCTCTCCCTGCTCTGTGCACCCCTGCAGGGATATC